AAAAAAAAAAAAAAAAAAAATCGCAAACCTGCAATTCGGGTGAAGCAGCCATTGATTCCGGTGGCCATCGTTCTCGAGCGGTAGATACCATTCTCGAGCAGCGTTCCTTTCCGCAAAGCACCTAAGGACCGTCAATCTTCGTACACTTCAGCCCTTCCGACAAGAACTCGTCCAGCAGCCCGACTGCCATTAATTCCGGCGAAGTTCAGCTCACTGTCGTCCTCCTCAGCAGCAGTTCGCACGTCGTCGAGGCCAGAATCGTTCTCCGTTCGTGAGCAACAATCTCGGTCCCGCACTTCGAGGTTTCTGTCCGACGTCTGAGGGTACCGAGAAGCTGTTCGTCCGACCCGCTGTCGGGCCTATTTCCCATTCAATCACTTGTAGTTTCCCGAAGTTGGGTAACTCGTTCGAACCCTCTCTTAGTTGCGGTCGTTTTCATATATCGCATGTTATATATATTTTGTGTTCGGTCTACCGAAAGTTGATTTGGAGTTGGATTTCATTCGGCTTAATTGTTGATTTGTGCGTATATTTCGTATATTCGTGGATTTTCGGGGATGATTGGAACTTTGGATTTTATAAACGTGTATATCGTTAGGTAGCTGTGGTAAAATCCTTTAAGTTCGGAGTCCCGTTTTATCGTTTTCCGAGCCGTGTAATTGCCGTTTTGTGTCCCGAGCAAACTTGTATTTTTCCTGGGAATGTTATTAGCAACTCTGTTCTCTGTTCAGTTTTCTTTAAAGTCGCAGGCTTCTGCTAAGTTAATAACTTAAGATTTCATTCTAAATTCCAACCAAGACATGTGGTGCGGTGGTTTCCATGCTTTGTTTTGTGATTGAGGTCATGGGTTCGAACCCAACCTTAGTGTAGTAGCCATTCTCCTTTTTCCTATTTTTTCAGCCCATATGTTCCCAGGCCCGCGAGCCAATCTTCGGCCCGTGCGTAGCCCGAACGTCCTCAGCATCCCAGCCCACGCCAGGCCCTGTTCCAGCCCGCGTGAAGCCCACATTTCCCATCCTCATTGCCTGGCCCAATCTGGGGTGAATTATGCCCAATTTCTTTGCTTGTCAGCCCAGTGTGTTAATTATAGTGCAGCCTTTTTGACTATTTTTGTGTTTCAGAGCCCGTTTTTAATACCGATTTAAATTTTAAAAATATTTTAAAAATGAGAAAAATTTTGTGAAAAATTATTTTAAGTTCCGGGACCCCAATTTACTTCTCCGAGTCATATTTTTCAAAAATGAAGGAGTTCCAAGTCCACGAAAAATCCGATTAAAATCCGTAAATCTTAATTTTTATTAAGTATGGGTTATATGTTAAATTCGAGTAGTGAGATAAATTATTGATAAATTATCTCGCTTAAAATGTAGGTGTTTGAAGAGTCGAGCCTCATCCTACGTACTTGCTTTTGTGTGCCATTTCCTACCGAAATTTCCAGGTGGGTTGTAATTGTAAAATTACTATGCTTTAAATGTTATTACTGTTTTAATTGTGGTATGATCAAAGTATGCATGTGAATCATGTAGCCTTCGGTGTGAGCTGTATCGGCCACCGGACGGTTGTCCCCGTAGCTATAGAACGTACCTTCGGGTAGTCTCCTTGAGAAGCCGTAAGACTAGGGCTTAGGTCCCTCGGCCGGTGATCCTCATTGGTAAGTCCAAGGCAAGACCTTGGCCGGTGGGGTGGTTTACTCCTACTGGCTGGCACTCGATGTAGGACCGGAGGGCATTCGATATATAGTCAGCAGTAGTTTATGCGTAGGTGTGCACATGAGTCTGATTATTGTATTATTGATGGGAGAATGGGATAGATTATTGCTTCGTATACATGCTCAGACCATACCTTTTTGATTTTTGATTACTGTTGATTATTCACATTAATATTTATGGCATAGCGGTGAGCACTACTGTTCCCTATTGTGCTCATCCCCACCTGCTCTTCATGGATGCATGTTAGATAGAGCGGCACGACGGAGGGGATGCGAGTGGTGTTCTTTAATTTGAATAAATGCTTCCGCTTTGAACTGAATTTGGATATTATTGCATTTTTATTGACTATTGTTTTTCTACTATTGGATTATTGATAGGGATTATTTCCCTAGGATCATTATTGGATTATTGGTTGATTATTGGGATTTTCTTATTGATTATGAGTATCGATAATTGACGAATATTGAGAAAATGTCGAGTATTGATTATTGATTTGAAAATGAGTAGCGCCTCGAATATTGTTTTTGAAATAAATTCGAAAAATTTATTCTGATTTTCGGTAAATAAAAGTGGGGCGTTACAGTTTGGTATCAGAGCCAGTCTGCGTTTCTGTAGACTGGTTTAAGTATAAAAGTTGATTATGTGGTTATGTGTTTCGAATTCATGTTAAGACCACTCGCTCTCGTCGTGCCGCGCCAACTCAGGTATGAGTACCTGAATAACTTTGAGATTATTGCATATTATTTGATTATTGATTATTGGAATAAAATCGGGGTTAGGACTAATCCACCTTTAAATGTGAACTCTAGTGTTGAACTCTAGACTTTTTTTATTATTGTGCTAAACTGTTCGACCCATTTTCAATGTAGAACCATGGCTCGTCGTAATGCTCGCAACCGTCAGCCTACTCTGTCTCCACCTCCGTCTCCATCCCCATCTCCACCTCACCAGCAGGCTCCCAATCCGGCTGGGGCTCATCTCAAAATCGTGCTCCAGTTCCGGAGTCTAACTCCGCCAGAATTTCATGGGACTGAAGGGCCTGAGGCTATGGCGGAGTGGATCCGTCAGTTAGAGCAGAACTTTGACCTCCTGCAGTGCTCTGACGAGCAGAAGGTTATTTGTGGTAGTTATATGCTCAAGGGAAGTGCTGCCTTATGGTGGTCCGGCTATTGGAGATTGAGGCAGGCGGAGCTTAATGTCCTAACTTGGGACCGCATGAAGGAGGTGATCATGGAGAAGTATTATCCTCAGGGTTATCGCATGAGGATGGAGCGCGCTTTCTGGGATCTTACTCAGGGGACTGATACCGTTGAGGAGTACGAGCGGGAGTTCACCCGCATGAGCGCCTTTGCTCCACATATGGTGGACACTGATTTGAAGAAGGCCCACAAGTTCCATGATGGTCTGAACCAAACCCTCCGTATGCATGTTGCTAGCCAGGGGAATCTTTCCTTTGATGAGACCGTTATTCGAGCCACCCATCTTGAGAGTTATTAGACTCCCAATGTTTCTGCCCCTTCCGCTCAGCTAGTTCAGCCTATTTCCTCCGCACCGCCTGGCTCTAGTTCGGGCAAGAGAAAGTTTGATTCCCGCCGGGATAACAGGAAGGGAAAGCGCGGTGGGAACGACTGTCGTGGTTAGCGCCCCTTCGCACGAGACAAGTTTTCGAGGTGCCGTAACTGTGGTCGTTATCATCCAGGAGAGTGCCGGTACACCCAGCGAGTTTGCTTCAACTGCATGAAGCCCGGTCATTTCTTCAGTGCTTTCCCCGAGCCCCCGAGGCAGCAGGCCCAGCAGCAGCAGCTTCCTCCTCTACCTTACCAGCAGCAGCAGCAGCACAGGCAGCCCCCACCACACCAGCAGAGGGCTGGGGGTCAGGCCCGAGTTGCTCATGACGAGGCAACCAACAACGCAGGTACCATGTCTGGCATGATTTTTTTATCCAATGTGCCTATCTTTGCGTTATGTGACACTGGAGCTACTCATTCCTTTATCTCTTATCGATGCTTGGATGCCCTGTCTATTGATAATGTGTGCAACTGTGACCCTCTCGAGGTTAGTCTAGCCTCGGGAAAGATCATAATTTCCGATTCTATGATTTTCAGTCTTCCAGTCAGTATTGGTGGGCGTATTTTGGAGGCCGATTGCTATGTTATTGAAATGCGGGACTTCGTTGTGATCTTGGGCATGGACTGGCTCACTCGCTATCGAGCCGATATCCGGTGCCAGGAGCGCGAAGTCAGTCTCTTCCCCGTTTTCAGTCAGCCTGTTATTTTCTATGGGGTGAAGTCGAGGACTGTGCCTCGAGTCATCTCTTCCATGCAAGCTAGGAAGAGCCTTTCTAAGGGTAGCTGTCAAGGCTATCTGGTTTCAATGGTATCCGAGGACGATTCTGAGAGGTCCCCGGAGAGAGTCTCTATTGTCTGCGAGTATCTCGATGTCTTTCCTGATGAATTGCCCGGAGGACCGCCCGACCGGCAAGTGGAGTTTACCATTGATATAGTGCCAGGAGCCGGCCCTGTTCCTAAGGCCCCTTATCGTATGGCGCTGAAGGAGCTTCAAGAGCTCAAGGCCTAGATCCAGGAGTTGCTCAATCTTGGTTTCATTCGTCCGAGTGTTTCGCCGTGGGGAGCACCCGTCCTATTCGTAAAGAAGAAAGATGGATCGATGCGCATGTGTATTGACTATTGGGAGTTGAGCGCCCTTACAGTCAAGAACAAGTATCCCCTTCCTCGCATTGAGGATCTCTTCGACCAGTTGAGAGGAGCCAGTGTATTTTTGAAGATCGACTTGCGTTCTGGCTATCATCAGCTGAAGATCCAGGAGTCGGATATTTCTAAGACTGCCTTCCGTACCCGTTACGACCACTATGAGTTCGTAGTCATGCCGTTCGGACTCAGCAATGCCCTGGCCGTTTTTATGGACCTTATGAATATGGTCTTTCATCCCTTCCTGGACCAGTTTGTTATCGTGTTCATCGACGACATCTTGGTTTATTCTTGGAGCATCGACCAGCACAAGGAGCATCTGAGGATTGTGCTGGAGACTCTTCGCCGCGAGAAGCTGTATGCTAAGTTCTCGAAGTGTGAGTTTTGGCTAGATCGTGTGGCATTCCTTGGCCACATTGTGACAGCGAGAGGCATTGAGGTGTATCCCAGCAAGATAGAGGCAGTGAGCAAGTGGGATACGCCAAGAAGTACCGCTGATGTTCGTAGTTTCTTGTGGTTAGCGGGATACTACCGGAGGTTTATCGAGGGCTTCTCGAAGATAGCCCAGCCACTAACCAACCTTACAAAGAAGGCTGTGAGGTTCGATTGGAGTCAGAAGTGTGAGGAGAGTTTCCATGAGTTGAAGAGGAGACTCACTACCGCGCCCGTTCTATCTATTCCCGATCCTACTTTGGAGTTCACCATCTATAGTGACGCTTCGAAGATGGGTTTGGGATGTGTCCTTATGCAGCAGGGGAGGGTCGTAGCCTATGCTTCGAGGCAGCTGAAGCCTCACGAGCAGAACTACCCAACTCACGATCTTGAGTTAGCTGCAGTCATTCATGCCTTGAAGATTTGGCGGAACTACCTCTATGGAGGCAAGTGTGAGATATTTACCGACCACAAGAGCTTAAAGTACATTTTCACTCAGAGGGAGCTGAATATGCGACAGCGTAGGTGGTTGGAACTGGTCAAGGACTACGATTGCACGATTAGCTACCATCCTGGGAAAGCTAATGTGGTAGCCGATGCCCTTAGTCGGAGGAGTTATTGCCAGTTATCTTGTCTTTTTACCGAGCAAGATGTCCTTCTTCGGGAGTTCGAGCGACTACAGCTAGAGGAAGTAGAGCCGCCTTCGACAGCCAGGGGTATGTTGACCTCTTTGGTTGTGGGACCGACTCTTCGTGAGAGGATTGTCGCGAGCAACCGAATGATCATTTCCTTTGCCGGATGAAGGAGTTGTCGGAAGCCGGTAGAGTTAGAGGATTCGCAGTCGCATCTGATGGGGCCTTGGTCTTCGAGGGTAGACTTTGTGTTCCGAAAGTGTGGGAATTGCGAAGGGAAATTTTGAGAGAGGCCCATAGTGCCCCGTACACCGTCCATCCTGGTAGTTCAAAAATGTATCAGGACTTGAGGAAGTCTTTCTGGTGGCGAGGTATGAAGTGGCAAGTGGCAAGGTTCGTGAATGGGTGTCTGGTATGTCAGCAAGTGAAGGCTGAGCATCAGAAACCGAGAGGGAAGTTGCAGCCACTTGAGATTCCCTTATGGAAGTGGGATTGCATCACCATGGATTTCTTGGTGGGATTGCCGAGGTCGAGGATCGGGCATGACTCTATTTAGGTGATTTTGGATTGCCTTACGAAGTCTGCCCACTTTCTGCCAGTCCGGACGACCATGAAGGCTAGTCAGTATGCCGAGTTGTTCGTGGATGAGATTGTCAAACTTCATGGAGTCCCCGTGGAGATCGTGTCTGATCGAGACGCAAAGTTCACTTGTCAGTTCTGGAAGACCCTGCACCGAGCCATAGGGACGAGGCTGGAGTTCAGTACAACTTTTCATCCTCAGACAGATGGCCAGTCGGAGCGGACGATCCAGTACTTGGAGGACATATTGAGGGCTGTGGTCTTGGACTGTAGCCTAACCTGGGAGAGTGCCTTGCCTTTGGTCATGCTGACTTACAACAATAGCTACCACTCCACGATCAAGATGGTCCCGTTCGAGGCATTGTATGGACGTAAGGTCCGAACACCCTTGTACTGGGATGAGGTCGGAGAGAGGAAAATCATGGGTCCGGAGTTCATTCTTAGAGCTGCGGAGATAGTTGAGGCCATCCGGAAGCATATCCGGTCAGCCCAAGAGAGGTAGAAAGTCTATGCCGACCGGAAGAGGGATGAGCACGAGTATGCCGTCGGAGATCACGTCTTCCATAAGGTCTCGCCCATGAAGGGTGTGATTCGCTTCGGGAAGAGGGGGAAGCTTAAACCGCGTTATATTGGGCCCTTCGAGATCCTTGCCCGAGTCGGGAACTTAGCTTATCGGCTGGCTTTACCACCTAGATTGTCGGGAGTGCATGACGTGTTTCACGTGTCGATGTTGCGGAGATACGTGCATGATCCCGGTCACGTGGTGGACTTCGGTGAACTGCAGGTCGAGCGAGACCTTACCTACGAGGAGGTACCGGTAGCTATTTTGGACCAGAAGGTCCATCAGTTGAGGAACCGGGCAGTGAGCTTGGTAAATGTGCTTTGGAGCCGACATGACGAGACGGAGGCGACTTGGGAGAAGGAGGCCGAGCTTCGGAGGCGATATCCGAACTTTGAGTTTTGAGCCCCAATGTATTTTATTGCTTTCTAGTTTTATTTTCGAATTCCGAGGACGGAATTCTTTGTAAGGTGGATAGACTGTAATACCCCGTTTGAATAAGGATTATTTGATATTATTAATTATGATCTTTATTATTATTGATTGCCTATTTGTTATTATTATTATTTTTTATTATTTTGAATGTATAATTGTCATTAATGAATTAAATGCTTATCATTATTATAAAATGTTATTATATGTATTATATATATTATCCGGTTTAATTTATCATCGTAATTGTATCCGAGCGGTTTTTCCGAGCGAGTCTTAAGTTTAATAATCGGCCCAATTTATCGGAAGTATTTCCATCCCATTTGTTATGCTATTATGTTGACCCAATTCTTTTAATTAATTATCAATCTTTGGCCCAATTCATTTAATAATTTTTTGGGCCCGATTAAATTTGGCCCAAGAGATTTAAGTGTCGCCTGCATTTTATCGTGTTCAAGACCGAGTCTTCCCTCATCCTCCAAGTTCAAAGTTTGGTTCCGATTCAGGCGTGAAAGATATCGCACATTCTCTTCTATCTCGTGTATATCTACCTGATCAAGAACGGCCTCATCCTCCTCATCAAAACCGCTCTTATTCACCCTCTATCTCTCTCTGTTATCTCTTGCTCAAAAAAAAAAAAAAAAATATCGCAAACCTGCAATTCGGGTGAAGCAGCCATTGATTCCGGCGGCCATCGTTCTCGAGCGGCAGATACCATTCTCGAGCAGCGGTCCTTTCCGCAAAGCACCTTAGGACCTTCAATCTTCGTACACTTCAGCCCTTCCGACAAGAACTCGTCCAGCAGCCCGACTGCCATTAATTCCGGTGAAGTTCAGCTCACTGTCGTCCTCCTCAGCGGCAGTTCGCACGTCGTCGAGGCCAGAATCGTTCTCCGTTCATGAGCAAAAATCTCGGTCCCGCACTTCGGGGTTTCTGTCCGACGTCAGAGGGTACCGAGAAGCTGTTCGTCCGACCCGCTGTCAGGCCTGTTTCCCATTCAATCACTTGTAGTTTCTCGAAGTCGGGTAACTCGTTCGAACCCTCTCTTTATTGTGGTCATTTTCATATATCGCATGTTATATATATTTTGTGTTCGGTCTACCGAAAGTTGATTTGGAGTTGGATTTCATTCGGCTTAATTGTTGAT